ACAGCAAACGGTAATAAAGCAAGTGATTAAAATCGTAACAAAAAGAGCATAACTTTTAAGAAAAAATAATAATTTCAGATCATTGTCTTCGGAACTCAGCCGCGGCCGTGATCGTTGGCCAAACCGCTTTCCTCTCCATCTGATTGCTCTTGGATGAGCTCTCCAGCAGGCAACCTTCCGAGTTCAACATCGCGTAAGCGAAAATATTCCTTTTTAGTACCTTCTCTTTCAATCAACCACCCCAATATTAAGATGTACACAATCACATAGATGTAGACAAAGCAAGCGGTTAAGAGTATAATCCCCTCTGCAAGATCTATTATATCATCGCGCCGTGCGTCGAACGTTCGAGAAGTAGATGCACACGGAGGAGGTGCCATAGATCAGATAATAGATAATTAGTTGAGCATGTGTAAAACAATAACATATGTGTATAAATATAAGACGACGTGTAAATCAATTCACATTAGGAATCCTAAAATATAAAACAAAGGATATAACGTTTCTCTAAACTAGAGTTTTCATTATATTCTTTAACAAGAAAAGAGTTTTAATTTTTTTTTTTTTTTTGTTAATGCATAGACTTAAAACTATAAGTGGATTTGATATGCATTAAAACCCCGTAAATTAGGTAATTTGGCTAAATAAAATATATAAGTAAAACAGATACTCACGAAACGATTTGTTTTCATTTATTTTGAACCTTCAAAAGTTACTTGCATACGTCTCATTAAATTAGGTTGGGTTTTTGGAGACATCTCGCTAACGCAGTAACGCCATGGATACATCGCGATATGAAGAAAAAGTGAAAGTGTTGCTTCGGGTCATGGAGGTGATGTCCGTCATTGTTATTCTTTTCGGATTTTGTCTTTGTGTTAGATTTTGCTCGTATGCAACAAAGGCAAAAGGAACAAAAGAAAATCAGAAAGATGAAGAGATTTTGCATCAGAATTTCAACCCATGAATCTAATCCACGAGCTCGAATGATGGAAGTTCAAGGCAACGCACAAAGTTTGCGAATGAAGATAAAGGGAAACCAGTGTTCACAATTAGGGAATAGCATTACTTAATTGTGATTGCATTTGAATACTTTCTTAACTAGCGTTTTTTTTTTTGGTGAATACTTGAGTAGCGTTTTATTGTTGCTATATTATTCTTTCTTTGATTTCTTCATCAGTCTTTTTTTTTCTCATCTCGTAGTTATCTGTTGTATGTATTTATCTTCTGGCCGGAGAAAATTATCTTTAGAAATTATTATTTATCTTCTGGAGACAATTATCTCCAAAAATTATTATTCCATATAAGTATTATTCACAATATTATTTTTTCTAATTGGATTACAAATAGGAAGTGATTTGGACTAACAACGTTAAAATATATATATTGAAAAACCTGTAGTTATATATTATCACAAACAGACTTGGACCCTTTGTCGATCGCTGGACCATGGGTATTTATGGTGATTCTTCAGAAGAAACGTTATCATACATGTATTACTTGGCCGGAACCATATTCGTTTGCCTTGTTCTTTTGGGAATCATTGGATATGCATTGTTTCGTGAGTGGCGATCTCTTGCTAAACCCTCATATACTACTATAGAAACCGATGAGAAGATCGGCGAGCAGATTCAGGACCACGAATTCACCATTGTCAGTCAAGATTCAGGGTTTGTTCGTTAATTATGGGATTCAGATCAAATTGTGTGATTTTTTTTTTTTTCATTTTTCTTTAAAAATTTATAAGATAAGTCTAGTCATCGGTGATCAATGGAATTAATTCCTTGACCATCTTTTTTTTCCTTCTGTAAACTTTAGAGTTTTGTGTCGTTATCTACAAGAGATATAATAAGTCTCAACAGACTTCCTTAATTCTGTTTTGCTCTCTCCGCGTACATTAATTTTACTCAGTAAGAATGTAAGATGAATGAAGAACAATTAGCATAATTCGTTTAGTTTAAACACCAATAAATTAAGAACGCAAGACAATTTGCAAACAAATCACTTGATAGAAAGACGGAAGTAACAATTGCTAGACCCCCCAAAAAAAATATTAAGAAGAAAAATTAACAAAACACCGACAATTGAGAAAAATGTCTAGAATAAGCCAAGGAGGATAGTTCCATCTTCTTCTAGGTCGTAGTAGATTGCATCTTTGATCGTCGGATATATTCCTCGTATAAGTCGTGATCGTCGTTATCATAGGTCTCCAGATGTCGGAGTAAGAAGATACAGCCCAAGAGAGAGAGAAAGATAACAAAGAGGAAGAAGATCATCACGGAAAACAGAAATATCAACTTTGTGTCGATCCATTCCAGCGACCCCTTTGGTGGATACCCCATCGACGTTAATTAATTTTGCAACAACTATAATTATTATATATTCTTAGGAGGGCATATCGAATCAAATAATTATATTAGGGTAGATTTGGATACATTCAAATCTTATGAAGATTTAAAAAATTAAAGTTGATTTAATAATTTTTAAAGATATCAATTTGTCAATAAGAGGAGATTTTTATAATTTTTAAAGTATATCCATTGCAAACTACACTACAAAAAAAAGTGGTTATTCTTACAAAAAATTTGTGACCAATCGTTTAGTCATAATATTATGACCATTTATATATCATAATGTGACGAAATTATTTGGTTATAAAAGCGTAAGCATTTCGTTATAATATTGTGACAGAAATAAAAATAACAAATTTTTGTCACAAATTGTGTCAAAATTGTTATGAAATATAAGGTAAGAAATGTGGTTACGGTTTTGTGACTGAATCTTGTAACTAAATTATTACAATTTTGGTAACAAAACTTCTGTCACTCATAGTTACAAAATTTATATAAGTATCTTGTCACATTTAGCTACTGTTTTCGTAACTGTTGTGTTAGGTCATACTTAATGACATAATTGTTATTACTTTGTGACAATATTAAAAAAAATCATGAATTTAAAATTTCAGTAATTATTATTTTTATTCACTTTTCTTCTTCCTTAATTGTTGTTCTCATCTCTTAAAATAAGAAAACCTGAAAAAATAAAACTCGTTTTTGTGATGATTTTTGTGACATAACATGATTTGTGATGATTCTACTCTAACCTTTTACAACTAGTAACAATTTTGTCACAATAAGAGTTTTGTGACGGAAAATTTATGCATTGTGACAAACAAAATTGTGAGAATAATCATTTTTTTTGTAGTGCTAATCCAATAACCTTGGATTTTGAACACAAATAGTATTAATGTTTTAATACAATAAAAGAGAAGATGTGGTAGAAGTTTAAACTTCTTATGTCTTTGTCGCTATATTTGTACAGTATGCAAAACTATACAGTTTGTTTTTGGAAAGCCCTTAAGTATTTACTATTTAGTTAGCCCATCATATATATTACAATGTTTAACAAAAAATCATATATATTACAATAATTACTAATGTAATATAAGTATATAACTGAGCAGGAATGAATGGTTAACTGAAGCTGTTAAACCACCATCATCGTCGGTTCGATCAAGTCTCTTTTATCTTCCACATGTATCCCATACGTGGAGGTTACTAAACAGTAGTGGTAAGCACTCTCTCCTGCCACGTGGAAACAATTACAATATCAAATCGTCCGAGTTTGACACCTTTTTTGGGTTCAAAACTATCTTCTGACTGCCATGGTTAAACTTGAACTGCCCATCATGATTTGTCTATTAGAATGATACACATTCAGAATGTGACTTTCTCAGCATCCACTAGTAAATGGTACAACCGAAAGAGGTCTTGCATATACATGTAGAATGTAGTAGTGTTTCTCCCGTGCAGACCGTCTTTTGCGATCACTAGAAGGTCTTCAAATTCATTCCTTGTTGGTCTCTGTGTAGACTAGGTCACTTCTTACGAAATGATTCATTCCTGGCTACCGGTTGGTACGGTTTAGAGCACCTTTGCATACGAAACAGAGCAGTCATTCATTCCAAAATATGTGTTTCATTGGTGTTTTATGTTGCTAATAACTGCAATGATGTTTATTCTCTCAAAATATCTCCAAAGACACACTATTGGTAATGAAAGTTCTACACATGTCCGGCGGCTTTAATTCCTTGCCACCTCTGGTTAGTTTCCTTTCCATATAGTGCTATTTAGCTTTCTCTATAATAATGTCAAACTGAGATTTTGGTACTCTTGGTTATACACAGGTTATCATACATTGTATCAATGGTAAATATCAGAAACAAATGAACACTTTCCGGACCCCACTGGCCTTGGAGCGAACAATGGACATTCGGATTTTATCCCTCTTGCATCAAGTATCTTATGTCAGCATTTGATATTCCTGAGGTAACATACTTTGCCTTCTCTTAGCCTTTGTTTTAGGTACAATAAAGAATCGATTATGTAACCAACTGTTAAAATTATTTTAACAATAGGTGATGGTTGTTACACGGACTAACATATGTCGAGAAGGAATGGAGTCACTTTCTCAAAGTGGAGCAGCAGATATTATGCTTCTGTCTTCCTCTACTTTTGGTCTTCTCAACTCCTATTGTATCTTTGGTTTTTTGTAGTTACTTATATATAGCATCAATTGGCTCCATATACATTTTAGTGAAGCTTTCTGTTCATTAAAATATGAGTATGTATGATTGATTATACTTTTGTATGTATGTTTAATGAGTCTAGGTGTTAAATAATGGAAGCTGGATAAAGACGACGATTCATAATAACACCGACTGTGAAATGAGCCATCGTATAGGTTTCCAAGAAAGATCGAAACAAACAATTTGTGTGACACAGGTACTCAACTATTCTTATAGGGAACCACCGTTCAATAAAGTCGCTGAAATCAATTCATTAACCAAATTTTCCGATGTTCAACAAAAAAAAAAGACCAATTTTTCCAAAACAAAACAGTATATGAAACCATTGCATTATTCGGCCATATTGGATAAAGGCATTAACACGTCAAAAGTCTGGAACTTGGACGATGTTTGAAAAGTGAAAAGTCTGTTGAACTTAGGAACAAGTGCCGAGATCTCCCTTCTTCTCTGTTTTTGCTATCAAGCCGAGGAGATCCGGAGCACCTGCTGCTAGGGCAATACCTACAATGCCCATGCATACTATAGCAAATCCATGCCACTTCGGGATCTTGTAGTTGAGCGTCCAAAGGATGCCAAACAACATCTTCAACACACAAGTCACAACTCCTGTGACAATCGCCCTTGTGCTCCATTTGGGAATGAAGGCGCCAAGAACAATAGGGACTAACCCTCCAAGAATGACCCAAGGCAGAGACGTGGCTGCTTTACCTACAATTGGCGGAAAAGTTGCATGTTGGGCCTGCATAGTCAAAGATGTGATATGAAATCAGTTACAAGAGACTGGACTTCAAAGAATGAATGTTACAAGAGACTGAATTTCAAAGAATGATTGTTAGAAGATGTATTTACCGTGGATACATGGGTGACAACGTTGTTGAAGATTGTTCCAACAATGGTGCCAAGCAGAGTCACAAATCCGCTGAGAGCTATGTTCTCTACGTTTCTGTTGGCTTTAGTAACCGTGTAGGCAGTGGTGGCCACTAAACTCCCCATAAGAGCTCCCAGCTCAGCTCCAGTGACAGCTCCTTTAGGCGCCATAATGCTCTTCAACCATTCTGGTAGTCTATCTACTACCCTCTGAAGTGTTGAATTAGACATGATTTCTGGTAGTCCATGTTTCTCCATCTGCAGTTCTTCCCCAAGCTTTTTAATCTCCTGTTTTAGACATAATACCAACCAACGAGAGATGTTTATAATTGAGTTCCTCAAATTAAGAAAAGAACAGAACTTTAAATGTTTTGCAGATTCTAAATATTACGAACCTCGTTAAGTTTCGTGATGGTCTCATCCTTGAGGACTTGCTCACCTTTTATCTTTTCCAATTCACCTTCACGTTTCTCCATTTCTTCCCCAAGATTTTGAATCTCCTGTTAAAACATAGTACAACCAGAGGTGTTTAATGTTAGATACCTATTCAAATTAGAAAGGAAAAGAAAAGTGCATATTCTGAAAATTACGAACCTCCTGAAGTTTCTTGTTGGTCTCATCCTTGAGGACTTGCTCACCTTTTATCTTTTCCAATTCACCTTCACGTTTCTCCATTTCTTCCCTAAGATTTTCAATCTCCTGTTAAAACATCATACAACCAGAAGTGTTTAATGTAAGACCTATTCAAATTAGAAAGGAAAAGAAAAGTGCATATTCTGAAAATTACGAACCTCCTGAAGTTTCTTGTTGGTCTCATCCTTGAGGACTTGCTCACCTTTTATCTTTTCCAATTCACCTTCACGTTTCTCCATTTCTTCCCTAAGATTTTCAATCTCCTGTTAAAACATAATACAACCGGAGGTGTTTAATGTAAGACCTATTCAAATTAGAAAGGAAAAGAAAAGTGCATATTCTGAAAATTACGAACCTCCTGAAGTTTCTTGTTGGTCTCATCCTTGAGGACTTGCTCACCTTTTATCTTTTCCAATTCACCTTCACGTTTCTCCATTTCTTCCCTAAGATTTTCAATCTCCTGTTAAAACATAATACAACCGGAGGTGTTTAATGTAAGACCTATTCAAATTAGAAAGGAAAAGAAAAGTGCATATTCTGAAAATTACGAACCTCCTGAAGTTTCTTGTTGGTCTCATCCTTGAGGACTTGCTCACCTTTTATCTTTTCCAATTCACCTTCACGTTTCTCCATTTCTTCCCTAAGATTTTCAATCTCCTGTTAAAACATCATACAACCAGAAGTGTTTAATGTAAGACCTATTCAAATTAGAAAGGAAAAGAAAAGTGCATATTCTGAAAATTACGAACCTCCTGAAGTTTCTTGTTGGTCTCATCCTTGAGGACTTGCTCACCTTTTATCTTTTCCAATTCACCTTCACGTTTCTCCATTTCTTCCCTAAGATTTTCAATCTCCTGTTAAAACATAATACAACCGGAGGTGTTTAATGTAAGACCTATTCAAATTAGAAAGGAAAAGAAAAGTGCATATTCTGAAAATTACGAACCTCCTGAAGTTTCTTGTTGGTCTCATCCTTGAGGACTTGCTCACCTTTTATCTTTTCCAATTCACCTTCACGTTTCTCCATTTCTTCCCTAAGATTTTCAATCTCCTGTTAAAACATCATACAACCAGAAGTGTTTAATGTAAGACCTATTCAAATTAGAAAGGAAAAGAAAAGTGCATATTCTGAAAATTACGAACCTCCTGAAGTTTCTTGTTGGTCTCATCCTTGACGTCTTGCTCACGTTTTAAGTTGAGCTCATGTTTCTTCAGCTCTTCCCTAAGCACCTCGTGTTCACCTTGGAACAAGCACTTGACTTCACTGTCAACATTCATCTCGCTGAAACCCCCAGGAGATAGTGTCTTCCTCCTAAGAGCACCAATATCCCAGATACGGACTGTGCCGTCCATAGAAGCTGATAGTACAAGGTCTTTCCTAGGATGAAAAGAGGCCGATTTGACTTGATCGCTGTGACCGGTCAAGACACAAACACAATCCTCTGATTCCCAGTTCCATAAGCGTACAGTACTATCGTCACTTGCGCTCAGGATCCACGGGTATTCATGGTGGAACTGGACCGTACTGATCTTGCCTTCATGCCCAACAAGAGTGACAAAGGACTTGGACTTGTATATCTCACAGTTCCACACCTTAACCGTTTTATCATCCCCTGTAATTCACAGAATATGAAGATGCATGCTTAAACATATGAAACGAATCCAATCTAGAGTTTCTTACAGATAAATGAAACAACTATACTTGCTGCAATTCACAGAATACGAATACATGCTTAATCCACACCAAACGATCTAATCTAGAGTTTTTCACAACAAATATAAACATAGTTGCTGGCAATTCACAGAATATGAACATTCATGCTTAATCCCACACAAATCTCGATCAAGTCTAGAGTTTCTCACAGATAAAATGAAACAATCTACTTGCTGCAATTCCCAGACTATAATCCACCAAACGAGATCCGATCTAATTCCGAGTGATAACAAAAACCCAGAGTAAATCATACCTCCTGAGACCAACAGCGGCTCTGATTTGTGGAAAGCCACACCATCAACGGCTCCGTCATGCTCGTCGAACTTGCGGATCAACAATCCCGTACGGTAATCCCAAAGCTGGATCTCGCCACTGTGCAGACTAGCGGCAATCCATGGCTTGCTCGAGTGGAAACTCAGTCCGTTGACTCTGTCAACATTCGCCTCCAGCGTCGTCATCATTTTCATCGCTACGCAAAACAAAATCACAGAGACAAGTGAAACACGGAACACAAATCCCCAAAAATGTGAGCTGAACAGAAATTGCAGCACACAGAAGCAGATCTTAAGCATAAAACAAGCGAGATTTCGTATTCGGAGCAAGGATTACCAGGTCAGCGAAGGAGACGGAAGGAGACGGTGCGAGGTTCTAAGCAGTGAGATTAAGAAAAGGGAAAGTGGGATTTCTGTTTCGCCGTGTAGCTAATTAATTAACAGAGACGACAATTTATATCCTCAGTGTAAACTAATCTTCATACTTTGGCTCCTAAACACACTCTAATCTGGTGTTAGAGAGAATTAAGCTGTTTTTTCTTTAACTTGCTCTTTGTTTTTACTTTTTTGGAAATTTATCTCTATTTTTTTGCAGATTTTCTCAAGAAATCCCACGTTAACTTGTTAAGTAGCTTATATTAATCTTCAGTGTAAAAACTTCATTTTCTACAATTTATGACAAACCTTAATAAGGTATTTAATAATTAAGCTATTTTTTCTGCTCAATATTCAATTCAATTAGAAAGAAAAAAAGTTCCTAGAAATCCTGTGTTTATATATGAGAAAGGGTGAATCCTATGTTCATTAGGTTGTACACAAGGTCAGTGTAAACTACAATTTGCAACTAGTGAGAGAAAGTTAATCGTAAACAAATCCTAAAAGAGTATTTGAGAGTTAAGCTTTGTTCTTCAATTTGCTCAAATTTCTTTTCAACTTTTTCATGTTCTTCTAAAAAAGCTGATGTCTATTAGCTCAGTGCAAACTTCATTTTTCATGAACAAACTCTAATATGATATTTGAGGATTAAGTTTATTTTCGCCTACAATTTTCTCTATTTCTTTTCAGTTCATCTTTTAAGTTTTTTTCTTCTTCAAATTCTTCCTATAAATCATGTATCTCTGTCAATTGGTTTGTGTATAAGCTCACTGTAAACTTCAATAAACAAGCATTGAGAAAGGGATCCTATATCTCTTAGCTTGAACGAAAGCTCAGTGTAAACTTTCACTTTACACCTAATGTCAAAGAGTTAATAATAAACAAGAACTAATACAGTCTTTGAGAATTAAGCCTTTTATTATTCAGTTTGCTCAACTGTTTTCCAACTCATCTTCGATTTTCACATATACATTCTTCCAAGGAATCCTATTATTATATTGTTTTCAAACTTCATTGTTCTTACAAACTATGACAAAGGGTTGATCACAAACAAACTCTAATATGCTGGTGTATGAGAATTAACCTCTTTCAGTTTGCTTAGTTAATTAGTTAATTTGTTTTTCTATTCATCTTTGATTCTTCTTTCAAATTCTCATATGGTATTACATATTTGAGAATTAAAGCTCTTTGACCCTCAATTTATATTTTCAAATTCAACTTCAAATTTTTTTCAGTTTCTTCCGAGAAATACCATGTCTATTACCAAGTAATGAAAAATGGTTAACTCTGTGTTTATTAGCTTGTATATAAGCTCATCGTACAAGTAACAAACTGATAAATACTCAATATTCAAATAATGATTATACCTTGTGAGACGAACAAATGAATGGCTGCAATTTGTGGAAATGAAGACCACGGAAATGCTCATCGAACCTATCGACCAGCGTTCCCACACGATAATCCCGCAGCTGGATCACACCAATGTGCAGAAACCATGGCTGCTTGGTGTGGAAGCTCATGCCCTTAGGTATGTTATGCTTTGTCTCCGACATATCCCTTGATTGCGAATCGCCAAAACACTCTACATAAACCAATATCACACAGACAGAGAATCATAAAACAATAACAAGAACTCAATTCACTCTATACCAATCCCAAAACAAGAAACGCAGACGGACAACAACAGAAAAAACAAATCAGCGCCGCTCAGATAGACAATTCAGATGATATTTCAAACAGATCTAAAGGCGCCAAAGAAGTGATATTCATGCAATTCATTCGAGATTCTTGTTTCTTCAGAAAGGGAGATCCAATTCAGATCAGATCAGATTCAGAGAGGAAATAGCGATGAAGCAAGTATTACCAGGTAAGCGTAGGAGGTCGGTGTGGAGTGTTTTGAAAAGGTTTCAAACTGAGAATTAGATCGATGAGATCGACAGAAGAAGATAAAAGTTGAATTCAGTTTCGCCGTACAGATCTGAGTCTCCCCCACGATCAGACCTGTGTAGGTGTAGGTATAGCTATTTTAATAATTTAGATTTAAAAAACAACATATATTTATTTATGGGAAAATGCGAGAAAATAATATACTTAGCTTTTTTCGTTAATAAGTGGGATCCCTTAGTAAATGATAAAATATTCAACTTTCTAAAAACTGCAAAAAATAAACAAAATTAACTTGCTGTTACATGTGTGTGACGTTTGAATGGTAAATGACTTCTCTCTTCTTCTTCAGAGTGCCGCAAAGAATGAAAGTTCAAAGAAAAAAGCAATCCTGATTTCACTGGAAACTATGCACCTAGATGGACTTTTTGAGTTCCTCTTTACACTTAAAAAGCACTTTGTGAAAGTGGTGGACTTTCACAAAGTAAGTTTACAATATTGCCCTTTTTTCCATTTCCCCTCTTTCTGTGATTCACCTTTTCTCAAATTACTTTTCCCTTTACATACTCTCTCAGTTTATTCCGATGAATATATTCGGCCATAACCTTTCTCCTCACGGGACTTTCCTTCTTCACATGCATGTATGTTCTTCTCTCTCTATCTCTTTAGTTTCGATCTATTTACTTCGGGCTTTTAATTTTTATCCTTTTTCTGTTTTTTTTTAAGATAGTTCCTTCGATCAATTCCTGATCTATTCTTTTGATTTCTTAAAAATATTTTTTGATTTGGAAAATTAACAGAGATAAAATTTGAATTGGGGGAGATTTAGGATTTGAAATTGACAGAAAATTTAATGAATTTTTATTGTTTGATTTGTACAAGTTAATTTTGTTCCAAATTTGTTTGCCCTTTTGATATAAGTTTAGAACTTGCTCATGATTTTGTTTGTTCTTGTTGATTTCGGGTGAAAATGGAAATATCTTAATTTATAGTTCTTCCCCACTCCACATCACTAAATTTGTCATCTTTTAAACATGTCGATCTTAGACACGAGAGTTAAAGAATTGTTGAGAGTGTTGAAGCCAATAGCAGATGCTTAGCTTGTGGATAGTTCAGATATGGATGCTTAGCTTGTGGATAGTTAAAGAATTTTTAATGAATAGCAACTTAGCTTATGGATAGTTCATATATGGATGCTTTTTTAGTTTTGTTCAGATATCGATGCTTTTTAGTTTTATTCAGAAGAGAAGAGAAGGAAGGTCCAGAGATTTAATGTGCAAAGAAGACAGTTGCGGACCTAGAGAAATAGATTCCCACAAAAGATGCTTGATTAAGCCATCAATAAGTGTCTTGTATGTGTTCTGAGAATTGTAAAATGCAGAGTTTGACGATTATCAATTTATATGACTTCTTGTTAGTATCTACCGTGTAATACATTAAAATTGTTATGAACAATTCGTAACACATTTTTCTGGTTCTTTGTTCTCAAAATTTGTAACAAAGACAAACTCTTCAGTTTGAAAAGTATTAAGAGCTTTAAGAAGATTAGTGAAATTACAAGCACTCGTGAGAATACTGTAATGGAGGAGATTATTTGCCTTCTTATGATTACCCTCTCGTCCCTAATTACATGGCTAATACACAGTCTTCTAAAGCCAAGAATCCATTGTAAGTTTCCAGAAACTGAAACAGCTCTCTCTCACTCACAACTCTCTCTGGCAAAATTTTATCCAACTTTCTCTACTACTTAATTCTTCTCAAGTCGATGTTGGACAGTTTCAGAAGTGGACACATTTTTCTGGATACTTTTGTGGACACATATTTATGAATGAATATTTAAACTTGTATGTTATACATTATACATGTTTATCAAGATTTCCTGATTATCAATTCTTAGATTCACAATTTACGTGGTTACAAATGATTAATACAGTTGTAAGTTGTGGACGTAACTCATCTTTACATCCAGATTTATTTGTCCACTCATACTTATCCTTCATCATCTAAATTGTACACTAGTGTGTTGGTATGAATCGTCCAACTATCCAACTGTCCAAAAACAGATTACGCACACACAAATCTAAACATCAAAGGGGTCTCCATAACAAAATCTTCTCTCCATATCAGAAAAGCAAGCGTACAAAAAACAATCGTACACAGATCTGGGTTTGTGTCGAATAACAAATTCTAAAGACAAAGAAGCCGAGTCCTCCGTAGAATACAAGGCATACAAAAACGGAGAATTTCATAAGGGTTACTAATACTCGTAATCGTTCGAATCAGTACGTCTCGTACTCGTAATTGGTCGAATCTGTAAACGCAAAATTGGTAGCTAACTACGCTAACTACCATCTTCTAATCACAAGTGTACCGGAAAGTATTGGCCGGCACGACAATTAATTGCCATCTCTTTTACTCATTTTGTTACTTGCTTTTCATCAAGGGTGTTATCGTCAACTAAAAACGCCAAAACCAAGAGAAGTCCACCTTTGACAAAAAGTCCCTCTTTTTGTAAACATAACTCAAAAAGTCACCCAGAGTGTAAATCACTCCTTGACAGACTATCACTTGAAGTGGTTTGTATCCATAATTACAATTTAACCCTTTATAATTACAATTTTTTCTATAATTTTACAACTTTTGAAATTTCATATAATTGAGAGCGAACAAAATCTTGAAATGTTATAAACTTATGCTAGGAAACTACTCATATCTATAAGTCTCTTTTCTTCAATCTTGACTGGATATCCATTTATATGACATTCATCTTTTTTTGTAAACAGTTTGATATATTTCCAAAATACTCTCTCTTCGTCTTGAACCATGACCACATTTTAGTTGGTCTAAATGTAAGATGTAACATTTATTTTCTTATTCATGTTTTCTGTTCTTTGACTGGTTTCGTAGATTGGAATTTGTTTCCAGAAGACTTCTCCATTCGTTCACTTGAAGAGGGAATAGCAATATCGCTGTGATGCATTAGTCTAGTTTTTTTTTTCATTAGTCTAGTTTGTATGATCTCCTAAAACTAAAGATCTTTTGATTGTGTTTGAATTATTCTTCTAAGAATATTTCACAAATAGTCCACCGAGAGAAGAGTTTTCTCCAAATTAAATTGAGTCGGTAAACAGAACTAAAGACGTCCAACATCCCAAACAATATGATTTGATTTATTTAGGTAGAGGTTTAAATAATAAATCATATATATCATTTTCAATAAAATAAAATAAAAACATCAAATTTTAGCAAGTAAATTAAAATCTTCTTTACCTTTTACATATGTTCAATTTTCGTCGGACCAATTTAGTGTCGACAAATAAACTTAGCAAACGGAACATGTAATACCTATGTGTGACTAACAAATGAATGATTCTGATTTGTAGAAATGAAGACCACCAAAATGTACACTTGCTGCACTTACGATTTATGCCCCATTAGACGAAAGCGCACTCGGATTCCTTGAAATCCCAAATCCTAATCTCTCTATTATTTCCTTATCATCTCCTGCAACACGCATATTCTACAGATCTTCAGAAATCGAAAATCTTTCGGAAAACCAAAATTCTCTAGAGATCTACAATTAACTTACCTCCTGACGTAAGCATATTTCTGGATGTGTGGATATCAAGACCACGGCATGCTCCTTTGTGCTCAGTGAATCGATTGATCATGAAAGAATTATTGTAATTTCATATGTGGATTTCTCCATTTTCCATCCCTGCAACAAGCCATGGTTTTTTAGCGTGAAAACAGAGTTTCACCACTTTCTTCCCTCTCTCACACTTCAAAGGTAATTTCAATCTAGTTATGGTGATTGATTTTTGATTGAAGAGCAAGAGTTTATCACACAAAGAAACTCTTGTTCCTTCAATTTTATCTTTGTCTTTTTTTTTCAGATTTCTTCCGAAAAATATCATATCAACTTTATATTATAAGATATATCATTTTAAATAAAATAAAATAAAAAACATCAAATTTTATCAAGTAAATTAGAATATTCTTTACCTTTTACATCCTATATGTTTAATTTTCGTCTAACCACGAACAGTCTACTATCATACTGGTTGTGTTGTTTAGAGTTCTCTTTGTTATTGTAGTTTTCCCTAAAACGGTGACAATTAGATTATTTTCAAATCAAGAAGTTATTTTCCAGTATTGAAAAGTAAATTATAGTTAATATAGGCTGGTTTTGAAAATTCCTAATTATGAGTTATCCTAATCTACAAAACTTAAATGAAATAAAAGATAGGGGATTTTATACCAAGTTAAACAAAGTAAATTAGAAATTTCTAAACATTTACATAAACATTTACATCTGTGATCTGACGCTTAACTTCAATTGGCTTGGTCTTTGGCTCTATGTGGTTTCTCTCTGATTGTTAGTTTTTACTAGATAGATAATTAAACTAAATCAAGGGGTTAGTTTTCAATATAAAAAAAAACAAAGGTAACTATAATAAACCTAATCATGTTTGGGAAAGTGACCTCTAATCTTGTTTTACCCTAATGCAATGATATCTTGGACTGAAACCGCCGCCTCTGCGCCTGCGAAATCCTCCGTAGTGGAACCACCGTGGAAGAAGAGGAAACTACCGAATCCATCTCCTCCTCCGTCGTTTTTGTCTCTTCCCGATGTGCTCATCCAAAACTGCCTAGCCCGCGTATCGAAATCGTACTACCCGAATCTCTCCTTAGTCTCCAAGACAATCCGCTCTCTCGTCTTATCCCTAGATCTCAACCACGCTCGATTCCACCACAAAACACAAGAAGCCTTCTTCCATGTCTGCTTACAGTTTCCCGATCGTCCTCTTCCTTCATGGTTCACTCTCTGGATCAAACCTGACCAGATCGACGACAACGAGAAGAAGAAGAAGTCGATCTTGGTACAAGTGCCCTCTTCGTATGCTAATCAAGAACCATTGCTCGTCGTTACGGTTGGTTCAGAGATCTATGCACTCAGACAACAACACCTTCCGTCACACGTCATGTTGGTCCGTAATAAGGAGTGTGCCTTTTGGCGCAAGGCACCTAAAATGACTGTACCTCGAGCGAATCCCGCTGCGTGCGTGCTCGATGGGAAAATATACATAATGGGAGGTTCCACGGCTGAAAATTGTTGGGGTGAAGTTTTCGACACAAAGACTCAGACGTGGGAAGCTTTACCTGACCCTGGTGCGGAGCTACGCTTCTCTTCGATCATTAGAAGAATAGAGATCATACAAGGCAAGATTTACGTTAGGAGCAACGAGAAGAATGACTCTGTTTATGATCCGAAGCTAGGTAAATGGAGCGTTACACCGAAAGCGCTCGTTGGTGAGAGTAGGTGTATGGTAGGTAATCTGTATTACTCTTGTCGTGCGAAAACTTGCTTGTGGTATGACACAGTGTCTAACGAGTGGAAACCGGTGAAGGGTTTGTCTTCCTTGAATAGGACGTGTCGTCGTGGGTTGATTGAAACAGTTTGCTACGGTGGGAAACTGTTAATCTTGTGGGACAAGTTTGCCAAGGCTCGTCGTAGTTGTAAAGAAAAGAGTATTTGCTGTGCGTTGGTTGCGCTTGAGAGTTGAGAGGCGCAAGAATGGTCAAGTTTGGGGGAAGGTCGAGTGGTCTAGTGTTGTGCTTACGCTTCCGAGCTCATACGCTTTCTTGCGCTCTTCATTGATATTGGTTTGATCACTTGTAGAATTGGCTAATTTCAAATAAGTTACTACGGATTCTACTACGTGCATCTTATTTACTCATCTTCAAAGATATTGATCCGGAGCACAATTACGTCAAGAAGACATTCGGTAACGTAATATGCCTCTTTGTTTTTATATATTGGTATCTACTATGTTCTATGTAAATTGTTTTTCCTTGCTTTTATTTGTTTTTGGTATGGTAACAACTTGTTACTAACAAGTATAGGGGAGACTGAAGAGCTTTATAGTAATACCCGAACATGAATATTTACAATTTAGCAAAAAAAACATATCAATGAGGAGGATATGCTGAATCTGTTACATATGAATCTGTTACATCTGAGGTGGCTTTGCTTAATTAACCTTTGCTAAGTTGTTTGGCTTGACACTGCGCTATACCTATCTATGAATTTCTTGTTAAGTTAAAGACTTCAAGCCACAATTTTAAAACCAAAACATTTGCTCACACAAAACAAAACCAAACCAAACCAAAACTTTTTCTTAAGTCATTAAGTTTATTAGGTCACTATGTTATGACCTATAACCGAAACGTTGCACACAAACCAAAACCAAAACATAAGTCATAACCTATAATCGAACCGATCTTGTGAGAAAACATATTTGGCCAACGTAGGCTAAATAGAATTTGATGAGCCCAAGATAGGTCCACATGGACTATATAATAAGATCTCATGAGCCAAAGAAAACCCTAATAGACCAAAGGTCGTCTCTGTCGCTATGAATCGCGAAGACGAACCACCGGAGAAAAAGAAGAAGAAGAATCCATATCCTCCGTCGTGGTTTTTGTCGCTTCCAGATGTAATCCTTGTGAACTGCTTAGCCCGCGTGCCGAGATCGTATTACCCGAAACTCTGCCTAGTCTGCAAAACCTTTCGCTCTCTAATCTTATCCACTAAGTATAAGCTCTCCGTGGCTCGATTTCACCTCAAAACACAAGAAGATGTCTTTCATGTCTGCTTACAGTTGCCCACTCAGGCTCTTCCCTCCTGGTTCAGTCTCTGGATCAGACCTGACCAAACCCTAACCAACGACATCGGTAAGAAGAAGAAGTCTACAAGAAACACATTGCTGGTACCAACACCTTGTTCGTATATTCCTTGTGTGCCAAAGTTCATCGTTTCGGTTGGCTCAGAATGTTACGGAATCAGCCAAAGGAATGATCCGTCCTCTGCATTGTGGATTCGTAATCAAGAGACTAACAGAGAGATCCGCTTGTGGCGTGAATGCCCCAACATGAGGGTAGCTCGACGGAGAGCTGTCGCGGGCGTTGTCGATGGTAAGATATACGTAATGGGAGGCTGCGAGGAGAATGAAACTGCGAATTGGGCCGAGGTTTTCGACCCCAAGACTCAAACATGGGAATCTCTACCCGACCCTGGCGCCGAGGCCCGCCTCTCTTCGATTAAAACAGTGGAGGTGTTCGGAAGAAAGCTTTACGTTAGAACTAGAAGCAACGAGAAGAAGGACTATGCTTATGATCCTAGAACAAACCAATGGAGCTATTTAGATAAACCACACGTCAAGTTTTTCGTAAAACGTGTATGGTTACGTTGTGGTTCACAAAATTTCTTGTGGTATGACGTAAAGCGTAAAGAATGGAGAGTGGTCCGAGGTTTGGCTACGTTATATAGAAACTGTCGTGGTAGTGTGATTCAGATGGCCAGATTCCATGGGAAACTCTTAGTCTTGTGGGACAAGTCTGTGCTTCCTGGTCGTGAATACAAGTATATCTGGTGTGCAATGGTTGCGCTTGAAAAAACCAAGGATGGTCATCTTCGCGGAAAGGTTGAATGGGCTAATATTGTGCTTAAGGTTCCCACTTCTTACGTTTTCTTGCGTACGCTAGTGACTTCGTTTTGATCTTCTCTAATGGACAATTCTTTTTATTTTGTCCATTGCCAATGGTTGGTTTTAAGGAGGGAAACGTCAAGTGGTCTCATGTTGTGCTTACGGGTTTCCAATTCATATCGTGTGTTATACAGATTTAGTCAATAGTGAGCATGCATGTTTTTGCTTTCACTGCCGGGATTGGCTTTTTTAACTCTTAAGAAAATTTCGGTGGCTTTGCTTCACCTTTTAGTCTGGTGTTAAAATTAAAATCAGGTAGTGTGATTAACCTCGTTAAAGTGTCAGAAGTTGACTCCAATTTTTGTTTAAAATCAGATAGTGTGAATAATTTCATTAAAAAAACTTGGTTCTTTGAAATTGTTGATGACAGGCTCAAGCTCATCTTATTAGTCATTCACAAACCATTTAAAAACAAATTTTTATTCGTAATCAAATACATATCAACACCATTTCGAGACCAAGTAGTTGGTGAAACCGGTTTAAAAGTCTGACACTTAAAAAGACTAATGCAAACTCTTTCTCATACAAGTTCCACATGGTCTCGTTGGAACCCATGCCTCTATTAATCTCTTTTAATTTGTGTTTCTTTAGATTGTTTGTCCGTATTCCCTTGAATAAAAAATATACTAACTAACTTCTAATTTACATTATTTAGTTTTCAAGCCCATCATCATCCACTAAAATCATTCAGCCTTTGTAAAAACAATGATTTTATAACACAGAGAAATTTCCTATCTTTAAGAAGGTGTCAGAGAGGATCGTTCAAGTAAAAGATCGACACACAAGTTTTGCTCCCTATAATGAGGGCATCTGAGTCACATGCTTCCACATGCCACCAAAGAGTTTGGAACTTCCCTCCCATACACCTATACATACAATAGATGTGTCATGGGTAAATGATGAACACATCATTCAGAGAACACGTGTTGGAAAGTCATTCATAATAACACCTTAAGATGATCCACGAATAGAGAAATCTTGGTCATGTGAACTGTTCCTGGGAACTTTTACTTGAGAGATATAAAATACAAATAATTTTATGTTTTATGCAATGTGGAGATATCATAAACGTAACCTCGGCTATGTGGAAACATTATTGTTATAAGGAAAATAATGCCCAAAAATTAATTTATCTGAGTGAAGCATGTTAACTTGAATGAGTTTGCATCACTTCACGCCAAACTTAATACTTCAAATAAGACATGCATCATTAGATATACTCATATACCTTTCTTTACTATTTTTATACTCTCTCGAAGGAATGGATATTCTAAAATTGACCTATATGTATAAGTAAAGGTCTACGAACTTGGACACTTAGGGCGAACAATAATTGGTCGAATGCTACTATTATTGTGCTTCTGGGATTTATAAATTTAAGTCGGCCAATAATTGGAGGCTGATATTTTTTCTTCAAAAGGACAGTTGGAGAAATTAAAGTTAGAAAAGTGAAATGAATAGAGAATCTCTCTCGCCTTTTCTGGTGGATTCCAACTCTTCACTCGTAACCTTTTTTCTTTCCAACAAATTGTTTAGCCATAACTTAGTTGAGTATATGTCTTTCTCCCTAGTCGAAAACCCTAACCAGATGGAATTCTACACGTTATATATGCCCATGTGAATCTTCCTTGTCAAATCTAATAGTTTGGTAAACTAGTCAGCGATAATACGAAATATATCTTTAACAATGAACGACTCAATTTTCAGACGCATTGAGCCTATGATTAAATAATTTGAATATAAATAAAATAGGAAGAAAATCAATTAGTTAAATACTTAAATCTATTGATTAACACGTACGTGTCGATTATGGTTTGATTGGAAAATCTCGGACAAGCTTCATAGTTCACGGGCCAATTGGCTTTAAAATTATATTTTCTATAGCATAGGAGACATCCCTAAGAACTTAGGGTTGTTAGAAATATATACGCACTTCGTATAAATTAATATCCACTGCGATGATAATTTTGGAGCATTAACATTTAAACTAGTTAATAATTACAGTTATAACTTAATACGCCACCAAATCTCACAGTGATCTTCTAGTGGCATGTCGGGAGAAATGGGTGAAGTAACACTAACGGTTTGTTCAAAAGTAGACAACTAATAACATGAGACCAAAGCGAAATTAGCGATTACGATCATCTAGTTACCTTTTAATCATTGACAAACTGTTTTCTTCGTTGTTCCTCATGGCTACAAACACACTGATAATTAAGTCCACGTCTAGGATATAAGAAGTCAATCAAGTTGGTCCTTGAAACATATTATTATTTAATTAGACCGAAATCTGATTGTAAGGATTATCTATGATTAAATGAAGATGGACAGCATACAAGTTTTTATCAATATGCTACATCTAATATGTTTTTTCACAATTAAAACAAATTTTATTTCTTAATTAAAACGAAATTTAATTGGTGACCCGAAGAAGAAGTAAAAATTGAACGAAGTCTCGTTTACAGAAGTTTTTGAACATTGACTTGAAAGTCTATATAGTTGTACTGTCAGAAAGATTCTCTTTTTTGTGCTTTTTTTTCTTCGGATTCCTAAGACTTAGACAAATAATGTCACAAAAGATTCCGTCCAAAGATAATTGGTTACGTATAATTAGGAATTAGTATTTTCTCTTTAGTCAAACAATGTAACTAAGTCTTAATTAATCAAGCTAAGCAGCAAAGATCCGATCATAGGTCGAGTTTCTTTGACGCTATCTTTCCACCCAAGTTTTGTCTCATAGAATATTCCATTTCTCTCCTATGTTTCCCGAAAATAAAATAAAAGGATTCCTTCTTCTCTTCAAATAGATTCCACGCGATGAGCTTAGTTTATCTTAAAGATTCCTTTGTTTGGAATAACTAGGACTTTCACCCGCGCACGCGCGGGTCTGTATCTTAAATCAGTTTAAAATATATTTTAATTTTTTTTTTAAATTGCAAAAATCAACAATTAAAATTTATCAATATTTCAATACCAAAACTCTCTGGAAAACAAAAGTTTTTAGATATATCAATATCGTATTGAGATCAAATCTTGACATACAAAAATATTGTTTAGATCATATCCCGGTAACAAAAATGTTTGTATATGTCTAATGACCAAAACTTACTTGAAGATATTCAAATCATTATAATAGGACAAACTTACTTTATCACTAAACTTACTTGTAAAATGTAATGTTAATTTATGAACTATTGTGACGTGTTAGTCATTTTCTAAAACAGAAATATATTTTTAAATATGTTTAGTGAAATTCTTAAAATTAGATGTCAACAATATTTGTATGTAACATGATGTTTATTTAAAATAACTTCAGTTGGTTATGTTAGAACTTAAAATGCTATAAATAACAATATTTGTATGTAATAAATTTAAGCTAGATGATAAACTAATATTTTGGTAAGTTTTCAATGGTTATAAAACCTAAAACCTAAATGAAGAGAAGCTAGTCGACACACATAATTGTTCTTCATTTTCTTCTTCTGTTGTTTTAAAGTTTTTTTTAATTTTCTTTGATTCATTCTTTTTCAGTATCTTATGTTTTGTTTTCTTCTTTGTCTTTGGTCTTATTTGATTTCTTCTTCATTTTCACTCATCTTCGCGTTTGCTCTTCTTCGTCTTCGCTCTTCTTTTTTTTTCTCTTTTTTGTTTTGTTTTGATTTGGTTTCTTCTCCTTTGTTCTTATTTTATTTCCTCTTTAGATTGGTCTTCGCAAATTTTTTTGTTGTTGTTGTTAAGTTTCTTCTCCTTTCGTTCTTGTTCGAATTCCTCTTCAAATTGTTCTTCACAAGTTTTTAATATGGTTTTTCCTTATTCATCTTTGTCTTCTTTGGTCTCTATTTTGTATTCGCAATTCAATATCTTTTTTTCGCTATTCTTCGGTTTTATCTTGGTACTCTTCTTCTTTGTGTCTACTTTTTTCTTCATTTTTTTTTCTCTTATTTCTGTAGGTTATTCTCGACCCTTAAAATTCTGCATGGCTCTATTCCTCTTAAATTTAGAATAAATTATAATTAAATAAAACACAATTTCGTTACCTGAAAAACTGAAAATAAAATCAAGCTATAATGACTTATTGAACAAAATATATCCAAAACAGGCCCTTTGAATGTCATATGTAAATACTAAAATGAGAAGAAATTTATCTTATTCTGTTTTTCATAAATTTACTTTTGTTTATATTCCTTCTCTTTCAAGTGGCATCTTTTAAAAATACTACTTATAAACACATGAATATGTAAATATTACAAAACATTGAAAAAACAAAAATAGAAAAATAGAAAAAGAACAAAATACAGCCTTCTATTGTGTTTGCCTTTTCCTTTCAATTTGTGTCATGTAATCACTATTCTGATTTTTTTTCTTTCTTCATAATCAATATTATTTTCCCCATCGAAAGCTTACTAATTTAGGAGCAACAATTCACTTTTGATTTAATCTACACTTTGGTAATTTCGATTCCTTGTTCTCTTCATAGTCCTTTGAATTTTTTGTGGTAATGTAACTTATTTATTAATTAATTGGATGTGCTTCCATTATCAAAATACAAAGAAAATCAATTGAACACCATAGACCAGATAATATTCGAAATAAAGCAAGCGAATTTATTTATTTCACAGAAGGACATGTATACCTTCAGTGTGATGCCCATTGTCTTTGTTTCAATCATTCCTTTGCTTCATGATTTTTCATTAATCCACTACATATCCTTTAGAAGAATTGATCGATCTATGTGAACTTTCAATATGTGATGTCAAAGTATCTTGTCTTCAATATATATCCCTCCATCTTGTTTCCAGGTGGTTTCTCGATGTTGGATTTGTTTGATCTTATATCAAGCTCTGACGTGAACATATGTTTATTCATGTAAGCTACATTTGATCAAAATCCAGTTAATACAATTGTAGCTTTTGTAGGTGTTAAAAAGGGAGGAGATGACTCTTGGTATATATAAGAAATAGATGGCAAAAGTGTGTTAGGGTTTTTAATTTTTATTAGCTAAAGGAAAATTT